AATGGTCACACAAATGGGCTGAAGCAATTGTGAAAGTGATTGATTTCAATCTAACACAACCACAACCAGGTGCTTTCAAAGACAATTACAGGCCTCTCCGTGTAGCTGTAATAGCCAGGCACTTCACTGTCATTAAAGCAACATGTAGTACTGCATTATCCTTTAACCCCATCGCAGGCCACACTTGCTCAGGCCCTGGAAGTTGCAAACCATATCGTTCAAGAAACAGCCTTTTACTTGTGAGCCTTTCCAGATCTGAAATGGAAAACCTCATTTTACTAATATAGGACTAATTTAGCATTTACTTCATGACCTTCAACAGTCTAAATACAGATCAGCTGTTATAAAGAGGTGTGGTACAGTAATACACATGTGATACCAGGACATGCATGATGTATAAAAATGTCACAACTGAGATCAGTGTCAGTGTATGCAGATATGATAAATTGGGAGCAATGGGTTTGTTTTGATATAGACATAAAAAGGCACAATGGTAAATTACTTCACTACTGAAACATCTTAAGAGATACAGCTTCAGATAGTGTATTGTCAGTGTTATTTGCAGCTAGTAAATTGAAACATAAAAAGCATTTCTTCGCACATCACATTTTAGCTGACAGACATTTGCAATTCTGTTTCCCAGCCTGCTGATGAGACATCAATTTACCTTTTTTTCTATAAGTGGTTACTTGTTTGATGTTTTCTTTGATTTCCTGCCTGATCTGCTTTTAAAGATAAACTTCATTGAACAATACCACAAAAATATGTTACTAAATCACATTTATTTGTAGATAACAGTAATCTTAATCTGCACATTTGCAAGAACAGCATGTTCAACAGTTCTGTTATCGTATAAATCACAATTACGGCTTGACAACAACAGAAACAAGTGTGGATTGGAATGCCAGCAAACAGCCATTGTGTTCAGCGCACATACTCTTGCGTTATTGAGAAATATCAAGTTCCCATTTCTATGAAATGAGTCTTACAAAAATAATGCTAAAACAATTTGTGTAATACATGTTGCACACATTGCTTAATAGACTTTCTGTCCTGATAATCATTTGCAAATACCTGCAGTAAGCTGCATATCTGGAATGTTTAATTGTTATGAGTGAGAATTAAAATCTTAGTCAAATAAATACAGGCATTAGCACTGAAACGATTTCAAGCTGGAAATTCAATATGATTTTCATAGTACTCACGTTACACATTGACTGGATGTAAAGCATTTACTTAGAAATACAAGTATTGTTGAAGTATGAGTGTTGATTCATCTATAGTCTGAGGTCATAGATTCTAAGATTTCTATTACTGACATGCTGATCCTCTGTTTAAATGCAAACAGTGATCAAATATCTGTGAATGTTGATTCACCTTCAAAAAAATGAGGTCACTTTTTGATCATTTACAGTCCAATGATGCCCGTACTTCCCATGATTTATAAACATATCCACTGCTCTGGAATGTGATGAGCTACAAACAGGCATGTTTTTCATATCTTCCCCATGTACCCTTTACTTCCACCTGCTGTCTATTTTCAGTCCTTGTTTCGTGCCTGATGAGGGTGATTCACAAAAGCATACCAAAAAGTCGAAACATTGTAAGTTAAAGATTGACGGAAGCATTTAATGAAAACACATGCTTCTGATTTGTTTTATCAAGCATACTTTAATTCATTTTTTTAATCTGCCTTCACAAATGCAAAAAAACACAGAGTGATGCTCAAATGTCTGTGCCCAGAATGATTCTTCTGCCGCAATAATTGCCTTTTGTGAAACGTGTAATATCCACTCAGTTTTATGATCTGAAAATGTAATCACAGTGATATAGTCTGTCGATGTGCAGAAAAGAGAAGGCTGTTTTACCTGCCACATCATCAGACATTACCTAGTTGAAAGCTGTTCTTATTTTATGGATATTGTAAAAATTTGATCACTGCTGCAAAACAAGGAATTCACAGCTGGTTGATCATAGTATAAGTACAGAGCTAAACATATTGAAGTGACAAGGGTTTTATTCATAAGATAGGCACCTCTCATCTCTAGGAGTGATATGTGAAATGTGAAATCTATCACACTCATTTAATAGGAATGGATATATCTAATTAATCACTAAGAGGTGGGTGTCACTGTGCAAGCCAAAGAACATATATTCTTTCAACCTGTTAAACTTCAATATAAAAACTGCAGGAAAGCACAGTAATGCATTTAAGAAATGTTAAGACTCAAGGTTTCTTACTGCTTTTCTACTTATTGTGCTTATTATAAATAATATATTTGGCTTTCTTAGTATTCGATTCAATAAACTGTAAGAATTAGAAAGATATTATAAAGGTATTAGGCTAGTAAAAATTAAATAATAAAAAATACAAATATCTAAATTCAATGACGGATTTATTATTTTACAGCACAAATTACGCTATTCTAACGTGCTTTTCTCAACGCAACAAGGGTGTTACTGCTTTGTAAGTTGTATGTAATATTGAGCCCGTTGAAGTGCAGAGCGCTTAAAAAGTTAAGCCAAATACATTTAAAAACAATGCCAACGATACAGAAAGTTAACACTGCAATTTCAAGATGTCAGATGAAAAATAAAAAGTACCGTAAAGTTCGGTTAAGAACGTAATCAAGAGTAATAGCATAATAAATTCGCAGTTCACTAGATTTTCCCATAAAACAATGGGGTGTGCGACTGAGTAGCTTCATCGATTTACCTTCAGCCATAAATAGCCCAGGAGACTTTAAATTCAGTTTCAGGGCAATACGTAAACTTAGAGATCAGAGACCTCTTTGCGTAGTACTCTCGGCGTACTGTAACCTACTGTAAAAAATCTTAACAGTCTCGGTGTTAGAACAAAATGTCTCGGTGACCGAAACACCCGACATTATTGACCGGGTTATAAAAAGACGCCCAGTCTTTTGTACTCCCAGGCTTCTCAAAATTCCCAAATTATGAACATTAACCAATGTAGAAAACAAGTTAAAGACACGACAATAATCCCTGTAACCAATACGTGGAGTACAGTAGATTGCACCCTTTGAGGCTTGGTGATAAAGGGTAGTCTTTAGCAATGAATAAGATCTGATTGGATGATTTCTTGGCCTTCCAAGAAAAAATATTTTAGCAAAAAATAACGCTGCACTTTAGAAGGCAGACTACATGACATGCGCCAAGAAGTAATGAAGAATCTTAAACCCTGCAGTGTATCACAGAACTTTGGGGAATACTGTGTAATTACAACAATAACATTCGAATAAGATACATACCGTAACAACGTCATTTCAACTTCACCAGAAGTAGAATGACAGGACGTTTATAATAAATTCAAGATATTTATCGAAAATATCCAACAAAAAATCAAACTGTTTAAGTTGTTCATTGACACTTTTAATGGCTTAGACAACACAAGGGGTTAAATAAAGGAATGTAAAAATAGCAGCAAAATACAGGTGGTGAAAAATCTCATTCTAAGGCCGTATTAAAATTTCTCCACGTTCACATAAGATGGGTCAATAAGTTCCGATCAAATCGTTTGTCCATTAGGAAGATGATCGTAATGAATATCAAAACATGAGCCTCGACAAGTTCAATCTTAGACTGATAATCACAGACTTCTATGTTACGAAGAGTTGAAAATACAGGTTCTCACAACCATGATCAATTTAATACGACGTCTTTTAATTAAACGGTGCATTTTCTTCAGCAAGAAATCTCCCTACTAAATACTCTGACAGAGCCACTTTTCGTGTATTTTATGGGGATCGGTTTTAATGTAATAATCTGCTGTTCTTCATAACAGTCTGCACAGTCTCAAACTTCAAAACCCAAACCAATAAGTGTCATCTCCTATTACGACTTCGGTGTCCTGAGACCGTTTTCTTACACTGAAAAATATCAACCAGATGCATTATTTAAACTGCACCTGAAAAACTAAAAAAAAAACTGGGTAACTTAAGGAAGTACATCAATAACAACGTGCGTGTTTATACGTCTGAACCTTTGTGTGATCGATAGGTATTTATTTTAAGATCCTCAATCGTTTCTTAGTTTCTGGACACATTGGGACACGAGACCTATTTTCGGTTATTTTCGGTGATTAAAGACAGAAAATTGCAGTAACAAAGAGGCAAGTACACTCACCCTGTGCGTAACCATCATTTATCTTATCACCATTAATTTAATGAAATGTCAAACCTGACGTTTATTTATCACCTTTTAATAACTCTGGAGCGCATTAGCACAGGACTGGAGGGTTTCGTGGGGTTATTTCGCGAGTCCCTGCGGTTGTACAGTGTGCTTCCTGGCTGAACATGTTCTCTGCTTTGCAGTCCATGACGCCGCCTGACCATCCCCTCCTCTGTTCTCCGACAGAATTGACGCTAATCACTCTTTCGTTACACTTACCTCTTCACTACAAACTGGCAGCTTACCTATAGACTTTCATATAAACCTCATGCAGGGCTCTATTTTTTAACTTTGCGCAGTGCTTAAATTGACGACAATTGTGTGCACACTTTTAAGTAAAACTACATGACATTTTACTGGGGAAACAACGTGCCTATTGAAATGGAAACTACAGGAACAAATAATATCCTTGTTTATGTAAAACAAAATAAATGAAAAAAAAAACACTTTCACAAGTTCTCCCCTGCATAACTTTTGTCCTGTATTTCCATTGTTTATCACGGTCAATTGATAACATTGCCGTTCCGTGCTCTGCCCTGAGGACACCACAAGACAAATGCAGGATAAACTATGCTTTTTTTAGTTTTTGATCAGCTATGTACTGTAACTACAAAATAACTGTTTAAATTAATATTCGTAGATTGCAATGGGTTGGTATAGTCCCCCACATACACACGCACATGCAACTGCAAACCAGTCAGTAATAAGTAACTTAGGAGCTGTTAAATGACCGATACCCCGACTTCTTGTTAAACTCGTCATCAAAATAAAAAGTCAGGGAGCTGGTATGAAAATGTCACCTCTCCGCTCACCTCGCGTTGGTGCAGTCGTTGTAAAGCGTCTCGAAGTCCTTCCTGGAGATGAGTTTGCAGCGGTTGACTCCTGGCTGGATTGCCCCGAGTCCTCTCAGGATGCGGACCTGCTCGACATTACACACCACCGGCGTGATCTCCAGCCGCTTCAGCTTGGTGTACACGGTGTGGAGCCCTCCGACCAAGTGCTTCAAAAACAGGTCGAAAGCCTGGGGAAGACAGATCAGCTCGCAGCCGTCCACTGTGAAAGAAGCCACCTTTGCGCCCCTCAAATCCACCATCTTACACTCATTGTTTTGGGGAGTGTTCTCCACTGGAGACGGAGTCGAGTACACGGGTTTGCTGGGCAGGTTGCCGGCTGGGACGCCGGGGCTGCTGGTGGCGATCGGCTCCGATCGGAACAGGTTCTGTCCAGAAGGAGCGACCGAAGGAGAAGGAGAAGAGGTTGTCGAGGGTGAGGAGGTTGTAGCTGAAGAAGTTGAAATCGGAGGTGGAGGGACCAGCGGGGTCGGGGGCATCAAAGCAGCCGGTACGGCCATGGTCACCTATGTGAGTTCAAGGTAATGAAGCCCCCAGTATAGAAAAGTGTCCCGAGAAAAGCGAAACAAAAAGTCCAAGGGGAGGGAATGACTTCTCCCGTTGTTTGTTTGGGGTTTTTTACAATCAAAAGCGAATGTAAAAAAGAGGGGGTCTGTTAGCTTTAGACTCACAACAGTAGTACATTGATCAAAGATTGAGAGAGAATGACAGGGAGAAAATGAGCTGAAAAGTGCAGCTCGCTCTCTGGACGAGTTGTTGTTGTCACAAGGTACGGAGGAGGAGGAGCCGCAGGAACTTCAGCCTTTGAAACCGGCGCTGCGCACAAGACACACGCCCGGCGCGCATACCTTACCGGCCGGCAGAAGCCCGTGGAAAAAATGTGTCGCTCTCCAGAAAATAAATAACAGGATGACTTGTTTTGAAGAGCCATTGCCTTTTCTTGGGGATACGAATAGTGTCGATCTATACGACAGCCGCTGGCCCGCTGGATAATTACTGTATGTGACCAGTAAGGCAACAGCCTTCCCGGGAAACAGAGTGCGTTTAAAAGATTGTCCCATGTGTGTTCTCCGTTTTTTTTTCTAAGTTATTTCACACATATTTAGTAATCCGCGATATTTTGTAATATCCTGCTGGCTTCTTCCAGCTTTATTCAGTTTTTCTCCGTTGGAAGCACTTTGATTTAGTGTTTTGAAAATAATTTAGACTAGGGTTGTTAACCTGTGCGTGTTATGTACTGGAGGGCGCAACGTGGTGGTAATAATTCATCTGAATACACAAAGCTTTCTAAAACAGTTATTGAATTTAGAGCTCCGCATTAAGCACACTATTTAAATGGCTTTGTACAAATTAATTGTACAGTCTGCTTATTGGGGTTTTATTTACTTTTAAGTTCATCGCACTAATTGTGAAAACAGTTTAGAAGTTTTAAACATTGCCAAGTTATGTTTTTTTACCAGGACATCTACGAAAAGAACATTGTTGTGAGCTATATCTGCGGTACAAAAAAATAAGCCTTTTTCTTCTCAAAACTAAGATCACAGTGTTGAATGCTAATGTCAAATATCCTACAATTTAATTACGTGTCAGCAAAATCTTTGTAGTTTTTACTTTTACAGATATTATAAAATAAAACTGGATTTCTGATTTTTGTTTTTAAAGAAAAAATAAGCTTGGCACACTACAGCGAAAAATACAAAACGGAATGTTATAGTACCTTTAACAAATCTGATTTTTTTTAATACAAAGAGACGGTATTTTACTTCATCGTTGTTTCGGGTGAAATTATGTTCCAGGAGCAAAATGTAGGAAAGGGTTAACTGAGCACGGCCTACTCGCCTATTGTATGCACCAAAACTAAACAAAACTGCGAAGGAAACATTCCTGTCAGAACCTGGTAAACGCGCCAGCACATGACAGATTATTCGCAGATGTTTAGAATGAACGAGAAGACAATAGATTAAAACAACAAATGTCCACTTGTGTTTCCACCAACTTGAAAGCGAAGCCCACATATATGCGCCACTGGAGCGCCAGTTGACGAAATGAAAAGGCAGTGCAAATAAAAAATAGCTTTTGTTAGCGCTCTATCACAGGTGATTGGTTCTTCAGTTTAATTTTGGGAGACCACAATGTAGGGTATGATATATGAAAAATGAATCTTTTAATTTAAGATTTTAACTTTTATGTTTTTCAGTTGTGTGATTATCTTTATTTGGTCAATAACCTATCCTATTATGTAATAACAGAAGTGACAGCTGAACAGACATTTGTGCTTGAAGAAGATCAACAAGTTTAATTACTGTGGAGCACAGGCTAGCGCTTAATTTTATTGCAGTCATGTCTGATAAAGAAAACAATCCAATGACTTAAACTACAGGGAAGATGGGAGATGTTGAGTATAACACAAATTATTAATTCTAAAGATTCATTAAACGTATTCATTGTTTATTGTCGGTAAAGCTGAAACGGCGGAATTTGTAATAGCCAGTGTTCAAGGAAAAATAACGTTGAATATCGGAAACACATTTTTCATATAACCTAGACGCCGTCGTCAAAGGCTTGAAAATGAATTGCACCCAAAACTACCCTTTCAGTGAGATTTAAAACTTTCCTGAACTGATAAAATAGTGGTACAGTATATGATATTTTTGCATTTTAATAAATAGTATATTTTCAAAAAAGCCTGATCACCTGTGCCTACAAGAGAGTTTAGGATTTCTACATTAAATTAAGCTAAATATTCCCATTTGACCATTTGAGCTTTATATTTGATCCCGGATTACGTGAATGACTTTTCCAAATTGTTATTCAGACCTCGAAGTACCTGATAGTGTAAAAAATCAATGGTTATTTACAATTCATTGCCATACAATCCGTTTGCCCTTTATATTGCAAGCCTTTATTTAAATGTGTATGAAATGAAGATTTGATTCCTTGTGTAATTATTGCCATTAGAGAGTAGTTACAGTAGCAAATACTATATTAAATGGTCAAATTTAAAAACAGCAATGTGTTTCAAAAACAGCCTTTCCTTAAAGGAAACCAATAGTGCTTATAACAGTGTTCAACAGATTATCAACACTAAAGGAAAGCCAGCGGGTAAGATAATACTGTAGCTATAAATGTACTGCTTTTTCAAAGTGGCATGGGTTTTATATTTATTTTCTGTTACTCTGGACAGCAATGAAGAATCTTTACTTAAATCAACACTATCTTCAATTTGTAACATATAATTAAAACATAAACATATAAGTCTGTCATCTTAAACATACATATTTAATCACATTAGATCTCCTAGTTTCTCAGGTTGCTAGGTATTTGTTTTTATAGATAACAAAGGTTGAAATAACCAAATTGAAAGTGTAGAGAAATTATGAAAAGTTTACCTCGAAGTTGAGTTACAATAGTAAGGAATTAAACTTGATAGTCATTTGCATTACAAATATCCAAATCACACCAGACAATCTAAAAAAATACACAACAACCATTGCTCCTATAGGAAAATAACAATTCTCTAGACTTCTGAAGTCAAGCCATAGCAAAAATAATTGGAATCACATCACCCTGTCAACCAGTTTATAATAATAATAATAATAAACTTTATTTTATATAGCGCCTTTAAAGGTGGCTTCTCAAAGCGCTTTACAGGATGACAATAACAATAAATAAGAAGACTACAACAATAAATAAGAAGACTACAACAATAAATAAGAAAATAAGAAAGTTTGAAATAAATAAGAAAGTTTGTTGTGGCTTCCAGTATATTTCATGATGCACAATATGTACCATCACATGTACACAGTACTTACCATAATCACATCTGCCTGACCATAGTTATACTGATGAGCAAGGCCTAAAAAGGTCTGACCGTTTTGCATATTCCTCTGTTGGCAAGTAAAAATATTTTTGTGTTTATGTAATATATAGTGTATATTTGTATAGGCCTATGCATTTTTACAGATGAAAAGTAAAAACTGAACCTAGCCGTAGTCTTTCAGTTGCCTAATTACAGTACTGTATACTGAATTACATACATGAATATACAGTACACGTACTATTGAATTGTTTCTGCACCAAGGCACTGATTTAAATTCTTTATCCTGTACATGTAACATGCTTGGCAAATAAAGTAATTCTGATTTCTGATTCTGAAGTTCTAACCTCATCAGTCACTACAAAAGGTATGATATAAAACTGTTACAATGTAATGCCCAACATTCAGTGATTTTGACTTACATCTGCCAAACTGCCAAATTACAGGTATAAGGATGAATAGTATAATATTCTTTGGAAAATCTAATTTTGCTTCAGTTTTTTATTTAAATCACTTTCCTATTGTTGTATAAATCACAAACCATTATAGAGCATTTTATATATAACTTTTAGAACTCTTACACAAGACATAAATATAGTACACACACTATGATAACTGCCTCTCTACCAATGTTCAGAAAATGTTTAAAAATATATTAATTATTAAAGTTTCGTTTCTTTACTGAAGTATTTACAAATAGAAGTAGTTAAATATTCACATTTCCCTATTACAAACTATATTTCTATTTACAGCTTGTCGGATCCTCTGCATATAATTATCTTATCAATCTTCTCGTAGCTACAGGGATTTAAGAGTTCTTATGTGTTAATGGTTATCTTGGCCAATGATAAACTCTACACTTCTTTAATTGTACCTTTGACCACTGCAGGCTGTCATTCCGTCGTGTCTTCATCACACCATGCAACAGAGTTGGCCAATCAGTTATGTTTTTGTCCACTGTCGCGAAGAATTAGAGTTGTTGTAATCTGTTCCTAGATTCAATAAATGTCATGTTTGTTAAGTAATCTAAAAAAGTCAAGCAGTTCTATGAAAAGGATATACATCATATATACGGATATACCGTCATTAGTGGCAATCACAGAAAGTACATTTTACATAATTATTCAGCTGTTACGCGTCGACAAATTTCTGTAGATTTTGAACAGCAAAAATAAATACTGTAATGACAAGTTGTCAATTTTAATGTTTACTTGAGCTGGTTTTAGAAATTAGTAACACACTGTAATGCGTGTTTGGAAATATTTACCGTAAATATCCACCTAGCTCTTTAAAGCAATGTCCTGTATTTGCAAAATTATTTTTAAAAATCCATTGCCTTGCGTTGAAGTTGATAATTAAGAAATATGTTCTCTTTTATTTGACTCGTTTGTATAATACACGCTTGGCATTTAAGACATAATTTTTGAAGTGATAAACGCTGGATGAATTTTATTATGATGCTGTCACCTGAAATTGGATTTAGTCAAAATAGTTGTGATAGATGAGCTAATGCTCAAATTTTATTCTTGAATGCCAACTATTTAATTATTCTTTGGAGACATGGCTGCTCTTTAAACGCGTTCTCCTTAAAACCAGTTTTTAACTCTCGAGATGAATCATTTATCATTATTTAATTTTATAATCGTTCGGGATTGTAAACTTCTAAAATAGTGTTATTTAATCGTTGTCCAGTATTCTCGCACCGCAACGTTCTTAGTATTTAAAAAATAAAAGTGAAAAGTGTACAATGTCATCAAACGAAGGAACGAAAGAAAAAAGTAAAGGCGGCATCTGTTGGTGACTGTATGTAACGACGCGTTGATAAACAGGTAGGTGAATACTATGCACCAGTTCAGTAGTACAATCCCGTTCACTACACACTGCCGTTGTTTATACAACATTTACACCCATCTCCCATCAGCAGCAGAACGAAACCCGATAGACTTCAGGCATTAGAACAAGTCGAAACGATTTTCTCTTCTGTGTTGCTCGCGTTATCCAATTAAACACTGTATAATTAGAACAACATGGTAAATGAATGAAATCCTTTAATTATGACCTAAAATCAGCTTATTCAAAACACGAATTTGGGCAAGTACAAATGTTAAATAGGCCAATATACAGCACGCAGCTTTCAGCCACACTATGACACGGAACAGCGAATTTATGTACAGAAAAGGCCAAATCGAGTTAATCAGATTTTATCCACCTTTGTGATTAATGATAGTGTATTTTAAAAGTGTATTTTCCATATGTCCTGTCCTATGGAAAAACTTCTATCTCTGTTTTAGATATGAGTAAAAACAATACATATAGGTCAAGTTCAACAGTGTAGATGAAATAGGGAAGTTATATGAGTATTAATCATTAATGACATAAAATACCACAATGTTATATAATACATAACCATTGATAAAAGCTGGACCTGTGTCTGTAAATATACTTGTATTATACTTGATATAATGGTTTCTTAATTGCTTATATGATTGTGGCTATGTATTAGCAATAACGTGTATATACTGAGCAACTAAGGTAAATCTGTGGTACGAAAGCATCTAAAAACATGAAAAATATGTCTACTTCTTCTTTTCAAAGGAAGTGTAGTGGGTTAAGTTTGTGTTCTTAAGGGGTACTGTCACAATACATTGTGCTCTTTTCTCACAAACAGAAAATTGGACAAGTACTCTGACATATTGTACATTACTGAGTTTTTTTTAAACACACAGAATACACACAGCAGGCTTCTTCAGAATCAGCTGTATGAAACAAGCTGAGATCTCCATTAGAAACTGTGGGGAAGTGCTTGCCGACAGGATGGCGGAGTCATGTTTTTACACGAAGGGTTGTGGGAGCTTGTTGCCTGTCAATACAGCATGGACGCCTATCCCTTTTTAGCCTTTTTTACGGATTTGAACGAAGATATGACTTCTAACGAACCACTCAGTCATGTTGTCGAAGATGACAATCTGGCCAGAAGATTACAGAGTTACAGCACTGTCTTACCTGGGCTTGAACCTGCAGCTATCTCTGCTCCTCACCTGTGGGACTGCCGCCCTGATCCTCCCAGACAAGCACTTTCAACTGAGACCTTTAACAGATCTTAAATCCCTTCTCAACTGGCAAGCCGAACACTTCCAGTGCGATAAACTGTCTCATTTCTTCTCTGTTCTGTCTGAATAATTTTAAAAGTTCCTTGATTTATCTTTTGGCTTATTCTTTTATATAAAGCACATTGAGATTCTCTGTAAGGAAATATGCTATATACATTAAATGTATTGACGATAAGATTAATGTTTATTATTATTATTATTATTATTATTATTATTATTATTATTATTATTATTATTGCAAACACTATTCTATACTGCTGCTATAAAGGAAACTATTTTTTAAAATAAATTGTTCAAAGTGATGTTAGTTGGCATGTTCTGGGAAGTAAAGTATACCTGTTCCATGTGTGCCAGCCTTCAGTGTACGGTATTCAGTGATGACCAGGTGCTCCGGACAGTGGAGTTTCTGATCCATTAGAGGGCACCTGTGGACGATGAAGTATTGTAAGTATTGTACGATGGAGATGTTTGAGCTGTGTCGGCGTGTGGAGGCTGGAAAGTAACAGGCATTTACCTTTCAGCAGGCATGCAATGAACTTTTAGCTTTTCCTTTTTGTGTTAAAGTTTTGTAATGCACTATAAAAGGTTACTGGCTAATTCTTGTTTTAAAGGAAGTTCACATTTTTTATAAAACAATAGAGGAGTGTTTTCTTCAGCAGCAGCTATGATGAATGCAAACTTTATTTTAGAACTATTTGTCCCAAAGTTACATGTGCTTAGTAAGCACTGATGTTTTCTTGCTGTGGGTGAAACAAGCTAGCTGGATGATTTCCAAGATTATTTGTGAAATATATAAATATGGAAATTAAGAATCCCTACAGTCAATTACCTTTAAGCCAAAAAGCATTACATTTCGTTCCAGTTCTTTATAAAAATGACAGAAACAGTTACCAAAAAAGGAAATGTGTTTTCCAGTATGGTAAAAAAAATGCAGATAGCACACATGATGAGTTTTTGTTTAGAAAACAATAATCTCTTGTTATATTTCAGTCTGGACATCAGCATGTGCATGCACATATTGCATATTAATAGACATACAAACTTTTTCATAGTTTACCACAGACGTCAGAATTCATGTGAAAGTATATTAATTTTCTAGAAACAGTTATAAAGAAAAATTAATAAATGAATGGATTTTTTTATATTTTTAAGTATTTTTAAAATGCTGGTGTGTATTTTAAAGATTGAAAGGTTTCATACACTAATGTGGTATTATGTACTAAAGTCAAATGTTTTTTACAGATAAGTTAGTTGTTTCAGAAAAGGTTCCAATATGTGAAGAGATGTTCTCATGTACTGTATCAGAAGATTGAAACTTATTGCCAAAGTATGTTATTCTTTTACTTCAATGCCATTCTAAGATTATAAAATGACTTCTCATTCATTTATAAGTCAACAACAAACAATTCTACCAAAAGGAAAACATAGGATATCGTCTTGGTTTTGTAATGAAGATATTTAAATATCTATATTTGATTAACAGACACTCTCAGTTATAGCAGTAGCACCAGCTATAGCTTCAATGCATACTAGATTTTTCTTTTATTTTCAGTGGTGTGTTACACTCTACGAAAACGGAAATTACCACTATTATATCTTAAATGAAAAGCCTATGACTAAAGTCATTCAGAGTGCCAATATA